GGGGGGTGGTGGTTTTATTTTCCATTTAATTCTTTTTTGTTTGCTGGTATTTTCCGATACTACAAATTGTACACGTTATGCATATATATAAATAGATTTTCTCGTACGTAGAACCGTATATATATATCATCGAATGTGAAAGGATCGATATAGTTGACTAGGGGGGGTGAATAGGCAACTAACAATTTTTAAGCTTTTCTTTACCAAATTAAACTTTGCAACAAAATAGGTTGTCTAGATATGCAACTATGTGAGCAACCTATATGATGCAAAAACAACTAGCACATAAGCAAGCAAGGGATACAACACAAGTAAGCTTGCAAAAGTAAAGGCACGAAATAACCAAGAGTGGAGCCGATGGAGACGAGGATATGTTATAGAAGTTCCTTCCTTTTAAGGGGAAGTACGTCTCCGTTAGAGCGGTGTGGAGGCACAATGCTCCCCAAGAAGCCACTAGGGCCACCGTATTCTCCTCACGCCCTCACACAATGCGAGATGCCGTGATTCCACTATTGGTGCCCTTGAAGGCGGCGACCGAACCTTTACAAACAAGGTTGGGGCAATCTTCACAACTTAATTGGAGGCTCCCAACGACACCACGAAGCTTCACCACAATGGACTATGGCTCCGAGGTGACCTCAACCGTCTAGGGTGCTCAAACACCCAGGAGTAACAAGATCCGCTAGGGATTAGTGGGGGGAATCAAATTTCTCTTGGTGGAAGTGTAGATCGGGGCCTTCTCAACCAATCCCGAGCAAATCAACAAGTTTGATTGGCTAGGGAGAGAGATCGGGCGAAAATGGAGCTTGGAGCAACAATGGAGTTTTTGGGGGAAGAGGTGAGTCAACTTTGGGGAAGAAGACACATTTATATAGTGGGGGAAACAATCCAACCGTTACCCACCCAAGCAGCCACGCACAGAGCGGTACTACCGCTTGGGCAGGGCGGTACTACCGCTGAACAAGCGGTACTACCGTTCCCTCCCAGCGGTACTGCCGCGCTCACGATGGTTGTAGGGTCCTGGACCCAGAGCGGTACTACCGCGGAAGTATGGGCGGTACTACCGCTTGGAGCGGTACTACCGCCACTACTGCCGCTACTAGTACCGTAAAACCCGACACGAAAACAGCGGTCTCGAGTCAAGGCGGTAGTAGCCCGGAACCACTGCGGTACTACGGTCGAAGACAACAAGCGGTACTGCCGCTTGGGGAGAGGTACTACCGCTTGACGTGCTTCGGCGGTACTACCGCTGAGGACCGTGGTACTACCGCTGGGAGAGGTCTAGGCAGGCACGGAGAGGAAAGGTGGCTCCAATGAAGCGAAAAGGAACATTGGGTGTGATAAGGATGTGTACGTGTTGATTCCACCCTAGCCTTACCAAAGTGGATCCCCTCTTGATAGTACGGTGACTCCTACGAAACTAGTACACCAACAGAGAAACGAAGGAGCTACATCGTCTTGAATAACACACCCGGGGGGGGGGGGAGGTAATCGTCTCGTGCCAAAGGATGAATCTCTGGAAAACTCAACGCACACGATTAGACCGCAAAAGCATTGTCATCAATCACCAAAACACCTTGGGGATAAATATGCCTTTACAGTCTCCCCCTTTTTGGTGGATTGATGACAATACGGGATTTGCACGGGAAGAAAGCGCAAACCCCACAACTCACAAATGTAGATGAGCCCCTCCTAGATGTGTGCTTATCTAGATATGTGCTTTGGACTGCACGACACACATAGTAGGATCAACGCTCCCCCTACATTTTGGAGACCAACAACCTAAGCAATATATATGAGAGCAAAGAGTATATAACAAGATAAGCATGCAACTCAGAAGGTAGGTATACATAGATAAGATAATCTAGAGATAAGGTAGCATATGTCTCACACCATATGTCCGGAACTTAGGTCTTACTGACACAAAACCAAACAAAGCAAACAACGAGAAAACACACCACAAAGAAGACATACTCGCGAAACAGACAACGACGGCACAAATCCCTAAACTCTCTCCCCCTTTGGCATCGAGACACCAAAAAGAGAGGGAGTGTTGCTACGGATCCAGGTGATAGCAAGGACGCGAACATCAGATCTCAGCATGATCATCTTCGCCACCGTCGTCGGTCGGAAACTTCTCGGCATCAGAATCTGTCCACGGGCAATGCTGCTGAACCCAGTCCTCCTCCTCAGTAAGCCGGTCCTCAGAACCACTAAGAACGATGGCACCCATCTGACGCATGAGCTCCTTGTGACGACCCCTGGCCTTCTTCTCAGCAACATGAGTCATGTACTAGCCGTGAGACTCCATGCAGAACAGCTTCTTTACCTTGAGCTTGAGCTTCTTTGCCCAAGAGGGCTCAGCCCCAGAAGGCTCATAGTCATCATCATCCTCAGCCTCAGCCTCCTCCTCGGTCTCCATAGCAGCAACAGACGATGCACCCCCAGACTTAGGGACCTGAGTTCCCCAATTGTCCTTCTTCCTCAGACGCTTGACCTCATGAGACACCAAATCTCTAGTCTCTAGCATAACCTTGGGATAGACACGATCCCAGGCCTTCTCAATAAGCAGCATGATGAAAGGACCATAGATTGGGCACTTACGCTCAGAAATGGCAGATAGGAGTTCAGACCACATAACATGAGAGATGTCCAGGGACTCGCTAGTGTTTTCTTCCTTCTTACGCTGGCAGAAGAGAAGCATGTCCACGAGATAAGAATGAACCATATCCAGATTCCCTATGAGAGGGAACAGAGTCTCACGGAAGACACGATGAAGAATATCAAGAAAGGCAGGCAGCTCATAAGTTTCCTTCTTAGTCTCAGAGTTGATCTTCAGCGTGCAATAGGGCCAGAGAGCTTGCTTGTGAGTGGAGGTTGTGTTGCGGTGAGGGCAAAAGCCGATAGGAGAAGCAAGCCCGTGATCTTCCACCCCAAGCAACTCCGTGAACGCCTTCCACTTGACAGAAAGCAACTTGCCATTGGTCATCCAAGTCAGTGTCCTGTCCTCATCAGTCCCAAGATGAACCGTGGCATAGAATTGGGCCACAATATTAGGATCAAAATCTTTGTTGAATTGCATGCAACCGAGAATGTTTAGTTGAGTGCACATTTGAAGAGCTTCACCAAAGTACTCAGGATCCTTCTCCATATAGTTGGTGTCGATGGAGCGCACATTGACATAGAGGTTCTTCTTGGCCTTGAGCACATCAAATAAAATGGCAAACTGAAACCTGTTCCAGAACGGACGGTTGACCAAAGTGGGATCTTGGTCTGCCTCATAGGGGTTGCGGCGACGCCTTGCCCAGAACTCCTTGGCTTGCATCTCTGGCACGGTTTTGCCAGTTTGCTTCGGCTTGACAACAGACTTCTTCTTGAGTTGAGGTGGAGGTGGAGCACTTGAGGAACCTCCTGCAGGCACAGTAGTGCGGTAACGCTTCGACGTGGCACGGCCGGGGTTGACACGGCGAGCCTGATGCTCAGGAAGTTCATCACCTAGAACCACACACAAGAACACGCAGAACAACCAGAAAGAAAGAGCATAAGCCACAAAACACAACAAAAGGATCACTGAATGGTAAGAGTACGGTGGAACTGGGTAGCAAGCGGTAGTACCACGACCTGTAAGCGGCAGTACCGCTCCAAGCGGTAGTACCGCTCGAGACAGGGAAACAGCGGTTTCCCACTGCCTTGGTCAGATCCGGCACTACCGTCCTACCAAATTCAAAAATACTTCTACCAACCACTAATCCAAACTACCTAGAAGCCTTCTCCATCCTACTCAAGCCTAGATTTGGCCAAAAATCTAGAGATGCAACCACTATTGCCCCTAAGATGCTAGATTGGAAATCTAGACAAGAAGAGAGAGGGAACGGAGGCAATACCGGCATCCATGGCAAGAGGACGAGGTGGGGATCGATTCCACCGAAGGGAATGGAGAGGGACGCCCCGGAGAAGGAGATCCGCCGGAGCCCTTCCGCGGCAACCGGTTGCTGGAGAGACGAGACGGAGCGAGGGGCCGAGCGAATGGGTATGGGGGAGAAGAAAAACTCCCCCTGCCCCCGCCTCGCAGCGATAGTACCGCGCTGGTGGGCGGTAGTAGAGC